CTGATCCGTGCAGGGATCGAACCTGCAATCTCCTGATTCGTAGTCAGACGCCTTGCCATTGGGCCAACGGACCATATCGGGTTGTGATGAAATTGAAAAATATATGTAGGTTATACCTCATGAAATCTTTGATATGAAGATGACTTGTCTTGAATGGGAATTTTGTGATGTACTATATATTGCTGGTGGGTTGATGTAGGGACCGGGGTTTTCTGTACAGCCAGTGGCACAGCTAGTGTCGGGAGGCAGGCACTTACATATGCGTACTCGTGGGGCATATCTTGGTGGCCTGCGGGCCTGACTAGCTCTGTACACATCTACAAGATCGATCAATGTTGCATCGTCCTGGAAACTATTGCCTGACACCCTAGGGCAAGACCATTATTAGCAGGACCTGCTGATCGGCTTATATAAGCCATGCTTCCACCCTGCATTCGCAGCCCACGTCGCAGAACGTTGCGCAGACCGTCTCAAGGTATACTGGATAGTGTGTGGACCAAGTGAATTCACGTCAAAACAACGACCAAAAGCGGGGGAAAAAAGAGGCAGAACATAGCTGCCAAAACAAAATTGATCCGTGCAGGGATCGAACCTGCAATCTCCTGATTCGTAGTCAGACGCCTTGCCATTGGGCCAACGGACCGCTCAAATTGAGATGCTCCTCTCAAAAAATATGATGATTATGTTGCAAATCCTTTGTTAAAGCGGAGCATTTCGGCGGAAACACATCAAGTCTTCTTCCTTGACTTCCGATGTCTTCTTTCAGTTCGCCCAAGATCACTCACGCCTTGCCGGCCATCGATTCAAGTATTCAAATACCTGGTTCGTTGAAAATGATTCTTCATTGAAATTCCACAATCGTAACAATAACCGCTAGTCTGTTTTATGCATCGCTAAACTCTTCAAACCCTCTGACAGTCCCTTCCAGCTCGACAATGGCCATACCCGGATGGATCAGAACCACTCTTGCGACAGACTCTCATCAAACGGAGGGCTCAGTGCGTTACATCAGTCTTCCTCTGATTCTGATTCTGTTTCCTCCCTCATGGTTGCACTGGACACCGTCTCATTATCGCCTTCTGCATCTACTGTACCACTCAAGGCTGATTTCTCGACTTCAGAAGGACGCGATGCGTCAACTTTGATCTCATTCGGACAACACCCGTCGAAGCCTGCCATGGATTCCACATCCCGAATCAACTCCTCAAAATCCAGTATAAGTTCTGCTTCAACTGGGACCAGAAGGTCTACCTCTGGCCTGTTCTTGAATGGTTCGGTCAGATTCGTGGTACACTGCACTTGCAGATGACAGCGACACCAAGCCACTGCGCTTTCGTAAAAGTTGGACACCAGCGTCAAGTGACGGCCAAAGGTGGAACCGTCTGCAAAAAGATCAGGTGCAACGAGCTCGAGATCAGTGATGTCCAAAGCACCATGGAGCCTCTTCGGGACCCAACTGCGGCGCATCTTGCTCTCAGTCTCTTCCATCTCTTGCAACGCCTTGTGAATCAAGACATAGAGCTCCAGTACTGTCTGCGGGACGACAGCCGTGGAGTCTTTGGTCTGCAACACATTGCTTGGTCCATATATCGCCTGCAGCCCTTCTGTAAGTGGCGTCATAAGCGCACTATGCGCGCATAAGCAAACGCTTCGCAGCTGTGCGGATCGCTCTGCCAACATGGCCTGTCGATTGGTATTGTGGAAGTCGAACAGTTCGAATGAACTCTTCTGCAGCATGCTCAAGGCGAATTCATGCGCTGTTTGTAATAATTTGGGCACATCTTGGAACATGTCCGCACAGAGTTGGCTGATCGATGTCCCGATGAGCGCACATACGTCTGCCATGTTCCTTGTAAACACTGCGAGCCTTTCTTGGCTGATAAAGGGCCACCATGCCTCTTTATCGGGGGCTTGGAATTCCATGAGCCGCCAACTGGCTGTAAGAAAATTGCTTGACGCCGCAATCCACCATTGCAAGACAATCATCAAGTCAAAAATCCTCCATAATAACACAGAAAAAGGTCCTGGTAGCTTAAAGTCTCCGTCTTTTTGAAAATCTGCAAAATTCCACTTCTGATATGTTCCCCACGGCAAGCATGCCATGAGCTTTTTCCCAATTTCCACATCGGCCGTTGAGAGATCTTGAACTTCTTCGACCTTCAATTGTCGGGTGCTCGTCAGCAGCTTGAGGCGAGATGTCATTAAATCCTGTGAATGCCTCGTGGCCTGGACAGCATTGAACAAAGTCGCCCGCACTTTATAGACGGTGGGGTCCACAGCATGAGTTCTCAACCTCATCATGTCTTCTGAAGCGACCGGGAAAACAAATGACGAAGACAGGATTAAGTACTTGCAACAGTCTCTCAATTGAACTGTATGGGTGTCAAGTATCCTGCAATGAGAACGTTGACATTCTCGTAGGAAATCCAAGTTCGGCAAGGCCGTCGGTATGTGCTTTTGTGGTACATGCGATTGTCGCTGTGAGATATCCGCAACGTCTTGCAACGCGCGTTGCGAGTCTATCTTGCTCGGCGCTTTCTCGACCACCACAGTCTTTGCTTCGGCCTCTCGCCGTTTTTTCGCCGCCTTAGCCCTTCGGCGTTTCTGGTTCTTTTTGAGCGCTTGTGTGAGCTTGTCAGGCTCGCAGATAGAGTTTTGAGCTTTCTAAGCGTCCGTTGAGATCACTGTTGTAGCGTCCTCTGTGTTTTTATTTCTTCTTGTATCCTCCAGCAAGGGAGCAGCTGGCAGATCACAATAGGCTGCCTTGCTGCTGTCACCAACCTCGTCGCAATCTGCAAGTGACCGACTTGCTGAATCTCGTGATTCACTTATTTCCTGAGCTTCATCATCGATATCAAAGGTTAGGTTACTAAAACTTGACGGAGAATGTTCGTGCGAGCAGGGTAACTCAATAGCGATCAAGTTGTCAATCTTGCTTGAACATTTCGAGACAATGTTGTCTTTGGGAACACGTTCACCGTCTTCGGAATTGGCTCTGAGTGATACGGATTGTGGTGTTAACGCACGAGGCGATGCGAGACTCGAGCTTTTGGCATCACCTGTAATTTGGACGATTCTTCCACTGTTATCTCCATCTCCAACATTGGACTTCATTTCCTTTTGTTTTGCACTGCTGCTCACTGCACCCCTTCCATTTTTTCTCTTGATATGCTTTACATTTTCCTTTTTCCTTTCATCTAGCTTCGCCGATAGTCGCCTGACGGTGGGAACATGAATGTCATTCGCCTCAGTCAACTGATCGGTAAGATCCTGATCCTTGATGTGTTTCGGTACTTTTACCAATTGCTCCATGGACTTCTTACTCGGACCTGTACCGATTGCGCTGGTGGACGAAACGTGCAGGTTATGTATATTGGATTCGCTGGCTTCATTTTCGCATGAAGTCGCTTGGCTATGGGGGAAAATCGCGCTGTGAAATTCCGGTTCGATAGGCTCGACAGCTTGCTTTCCCTAGATTTGCTGTTGCGAGTAGAACAACAAGTACGCCACCTTATTATCCCTGGCGTCTCTTCCAGGGGCTCCTCGGGGGGTACTAGCGCCAGATGACTTCCCATTGACAACATTGCTATATTTCTTGGTGCCATTGGTGGGTCCAACCTGCTTCCAATCACCGCCGTCGTCCGCAGAGTTTTCCGCGTCTCCCATGGCCGCGAATCGGTTAACAACAGATGTGTCGATGCCCGCATCCTTATTAGTTGCGGTTGGCCTGAGCGGTACTTCTTCACCACTCATGTCAGTGACGTCGTGGCTTGAGATGGCTTCGAGCTTGGTGTCATTGATTCGCATCCAGCTCTCGCCATCCTGACGACGAACATCAACACTGTAGTGCCCATGGTGCATATCAGCACCGTGGTGATACACAACAGCCGTGAGCTTGTAGCGCGGGATACCAGTCTTGCTTGCGGCATATTCGTTCCGCCTTGGCCGAGAGAGAACAGCCGGTGGGATATCGAGATCCAGAGGATAGCCTACTTTCTTTCCGTTCTTGCGGTATGAGCCATCGTTTGACTGTTCGAATCGTACAAGCTGGAGGATGAGAACAGCTGGCAGTTTGTGTATGAACTGTTGTTGAGTGGCGGTGACAGCTCCCTTTGGAGTAGGATAGTCTTTTATGCTTTGCGTAACATTGGACCACTCCATTGCCTGGGACACATTTCTGACCGAGGGGTCATCAATGTGCAGTCGGAACGTGTAAAAAGGCTGATCTGTACTGGAGTCTTTCCGACCAAGGCCACGCAGCTCAGATCGAGTCTGGCCTTGGAAGATCCTGGTGAGTGGAGTGGGTACTTGCAGTGGGCCTGTCGATTGGGTCACTGTAGATTTCTGTCGATTGTCTACCGTGGTCCAGCCCTCGGCCTCCTCGTTCATTCTGGAAGTGGTGTCGCTTGCGTCCTTGATTTCTCCGGCACACTCTGTTTGCAACCCATCAAAGAGCAGAGTCAGGAACTCTTCGGCATCTTGTTGTTTGCCCAGCTACCAACTCAGTCAGTTTCACGCGCCGAGTATCCAGATTAAATCAAAGAAGTACTGACCTTCAACTTGGACTTGACAAAAACGGGAGTCTTGAATGCTTTTTCATACAAAAAGTCGGCCCTGAATGGTTCGCCGAATTGCTGGTATTTATCCTGTACCCTGGATCTCAGCTGTTCTGGGGTGCTGGCCATATCCATGACCCTGAATTGATCATGAAACTCGATCCTGCAGTTGTGGTGAGCGAGATGCATATGGCAGACAAAAATTCAATTTACTTACAACGCTTCTAGCAGAAGTAGCCTCATGTTGATTCGGCACTTCGTCTTGACCTCGTTGAGGAAATTGTAGAAAGGTCGACAGTACAACAAGACTTGCAAGATCTTGGGTCATATTAGCCATTGTATGCGACTGACCAAAGAGAGCGTGGCGGCTATCTACTCACCGAATTCATGTAGCAGTCGACACCCGAGTTCAAAAGGCCACGAGGCTCGATGAAGAAGGCAGTCCTGTCGTTTGAGTCCACTCGGTAAGAGCCAAGTACTTCTGCGAGCGTCTTGTTACCCGGTAGACCAATGCCTGAGGTTCCATGAGTCTGTGTCCCTGCGTTCATACCGCCGGCTACTGTTGTACCGTTCTGGCCAGTCTGAGCGCCTGTAAAGGATTTGGCTGCTGTAGGTCCTCTAAGAACAGCAGCCCAATTTTTGAATGCAGGTTTGGTCCCAGACTTGGCCTCTTGAGGCTCTGTATCACCCACCTTGTCTGACTGGACCACGGCTTCGCCGTCTGGCTTGCCGCCATTCTCCTCTTCCGTGGGCTTGATTGGTCCTTGACTCGCTGGTGGAGCAGCCTTGGGTAGAGCCGGCAAAGCGGTAACCGTGGCAGCCGTGGACTTCGAGGTTGGTGCTTTCGCGGGCTGCGAATGGACTATCATTGACGGTGTGGTCTGAGTCCCGAGTGTGCTTGCTTCTGGTGTGCTAGTTGTCATTGTGTCTGTAGCAAGCTTGACCGTGGATGAAGTCTCCTCGGTGTAGCTAGCGCGATCCGGGGCATCAGTAGCGGCGCGAATCCCATCATTGTCTTGATCTGGTGCAATTGTCTCCACATGTTGATGCTGGGTAGCTTGTAGGCTCACGCCTTCGTTGGCAATAG